TAATGCTAACAACATAAACCTGAACTATGAAACTACTCATTATACTACTACATATACGATTGTTCTATTTAAAGTTCTGAAAATATACACATGCTAAGTACTGTTTTTCAAGCATACATGATTCATCAGCTAGCATCTTTTAAAATAAACTATCAGAACCCTATGCTAACTTGAAGTTCTATATATTTTATAACACTAAACTACCAGACCTCGCATATAATATTTCCCACTAAACAAATAGCCATCAAACACATCCTAAAACAAACCACATGAATAATGCAGAAAACTAAAACTAATAAAGAAACTAAATGAACTTGGGAGAAACATGAGAATAAAATTAAAAGGGGAGCATTTAGCATTAGATCTTCACATTTCAGCTACATATTTCAAATGGAAGAACAGGCTTGCACTTCAAAGATCATTTAGGGTCCAAGAAGTACCTGGATATTAAAACAAAGCAAAAGGGAATGAGAATTTCAGCAAGAACAGAAGTATGAGTAAATCAGCAGATCAACAGCAATATTCAGCTTCCTTAGACCATCCTTAAACCCATAAAACCAGAAATCCCCTGAAAACTTTTAAGTTCTTACTAACAAAGAAACCAAGGAACAATTCCAACCAATTTTCAACCAAAATAATGCAGAAACTATTGAGTATTTTGCAAGGTCTATTAATCTCTGATTTTTGTGTGAAAGGAATGGTCTATATATATCCCTTAAGAGTGCCATGTGCTGAAGAGAATAATGGAATTATTCCTTCATCCAATCAAACAGTAAACAAATCTTATCTGAAAATCTTATTCTTATCTGAAAATCTTGTTCTTATTTTCCAAATTAACCTCCTAAGTTTCAATTGTTCAATTAAGACAATAGGAGTTTCTAACCATTTACAAACTAAGGAAAACAACACAAAGCAGACATATATGAAAAAAACCAACCAAACAGTAAACAAATACTGAAAGGGTGAATATCTGGACCCTTAACACAAATCAGAAAGGATTCAATTTCATGATGAACTCCCAAAATCTAGTTTTAACGGCTAGTGACAACCTTGACTACAATCAAAAGAAGAATGGATATTGAGCAATTAAAACACTGAATCACAAAAATCCTAAAATCTAAATCATGCAATTAAAACAACGGAATTAAAAGAAACGAAAAACAAGAAGAATAGAAAATCATGATAAATCCTGACCTAGACAACCAGGAATCTAAATTAATCTAAAAATCAAATAAACAAAAACCTAATCAATTCGAGCAAGTAAATAATAAAGACTGATTTGAACAAATAAATAACCAAGACAAATAGACAAGCAGATGGTTACAATTAAAAGAAAAATCAGAAAGCAAACAAACAAAACAAAAACCAAAGAGGAAGAGATGGGATACTGGCTAATCGGAAAAGGCTTGGTGAATGAATCGAACCAACGACCAAGAAGGGCGAAGAAACAGTGGTTTGGTCAAGCAGCTGTAGCCCTCGAAAACGAACCAAAACTCGTATTAATCAAGGGTTCTCAACGAGAACGATTAGTTAACACGAGTCTTGAGTCGAATCGAACTCTGGAAGGAAAAGAGTCGGACTTAGAAGAACTAGGGATTTCTTCCAATTTTCAGATCTAAAATTCGGGGAATTTGAGGGTGTTTTTGGGGAAATTGATGACAGATTTAGGAAGACGAGGGGACAGGGGTTGCCTGGTATCAATTTGGGGAGGTTTGGCACAACTAGAGTTTTGGGGTCCAATTCTTAGATCTGAAATCGGAGGATTTGGGTGGGGATTTTGGGGAAGAGGTCCGTGGATTTGGAAAGAGGAGGGAAAGGAGATTATGGGGTGTTAATTTGGGGGTGTTTAGAGCACCGGAACTGCCGTGAGGCGATTTTCGGTGGTGGTTAGCGGCGGAGGATTTTAGGGCGGCGGTCTTTTAGGGTTTGGTTGAAGGAGACGAGAATGAGAGGGGGTCCGATTGGGGGGGGGGGGTGAAGTTTCGGACAGTCTTATACGTAGACAACCCTGAGTTCACAGCCGTTGGATCTTACGAGATCAATGGTTGTGATGAAACGAAGCAAAACGAGGTCGTTTGGTTTTAGTGGGGGCGGGACCGGTTGACTTGGTTTTGGGCTTGGGTCGGAACGGGTAAGGAGTTGGGAATTGGGTTGGTTGGTGAGAATTTGGGCTTAGCATCAGTTGGGCCAACAACCTTTTCAATTTCCTCTCTTTTTTTCTTTTTATTTTCTTTTCTTTCTTTAATTAATTAAAAACCTAAATTTAATTCCTAAATTAATTTAAATTGTAAAATTGGGCTAATTATCAAATTATAAAATTTATAAAAATTAATTGATACTAAATTAAAAGAGAAAAACTACTAATCTAAAATTAAAAGCTAAAAATACAAAAATGAACCATTTTTTGTGATTTTCATTTTAGTAAAATAACTAATTAACTAATTAGTCCTAAAAACATGGAAACAAAATCTAAATGCAAATGCATGGTATTTTTATTTTTATTTTTTCAAAATTTTAATAAAAGTAAACATGCACAGAAATGCAAACAATTAACACAAATTCCTACAAAATCCTATGAAATTGCAAACAATTGGAAAAAATCTATTTCTTTAATTTGTAGGAGTATTTCACATAAGGCAAAAATCGCAGGCTCACAAGGTGCATACTTCTATACAGGGGCGTAGGTACCTTATTTATGATACCGTTTCGTTAAAAAATTTCGTAAATATATATGTAGAAAACAATAAGAAAGATAAAAAATTTGGGTATGAATATAATAATTGACAACGCTTATCGTTATATTTATTTACTTGTTCACTTCTTCAAATATTAACAGCTATTGCAAAAATTTTTGCGTGCGCTGGTGCTCCTATATTCTTGTCATTTTCGTCAGTAAGTAGAGTACGTATATTCTGGAGGCGAAAATTTTTTGAACTAACGCATTGT